ATAGACACAGGGAAGGGAGTATCACACACTGGGGTCTGTTGGGGGAGACCAGGGAAGGAACCATGGGGGGTAGGGAGGTTGGGGAGGGATAACATGGGGAGAAGTGTCAGATATAGGTGACGGGGCATGGAGGCAGCAAACCATATTGCCATGTATGTACCTATGCAACAATTCTGCATGATCTGCACATGTACCCCAGAATCTAAAGTACAACGACAACAACAACAACAAATATATATATATATATAAGAAACTTTCTGTTGAGATAATGTTCTGTAGATTTCTTGTATTTCTCTCTTTCTTTCTTTTTTTTTTTTTTTTTTTTTTTTTGAGGCGAAGTCTTGCTCTGTCACCAGGCTGGAATGCAGTGGCATGATCTCAGGTCACTGCAACCTCCGCCTCCTGGGTTCAAGCAATTCTCCTGCTTTAGCATCCTGAGTAGCTGGGACTACAGGCGTGTGCCACCACACTCAGCTAATTTTTGTATTTTTAGTAGAGATGGGGTTTCACCATATTGGCCAGGATGGTCCCAATCTCTTGACCTCATGCCTGTAATCCCAGCACTTTGGGAGGCCGAGGCGGGATCACTGCCCGCCTCGGCCTCCCAAAGTGCTGGGATTACAGGCATGAGCCACCAGGCATTTCTGTACATCTTGCAAGCAGAGGCACTGACTGTCTTTGTTCTAGATAATTTTTTTCAAAGATGTTGGTATAGCAAGCAGCACAGAGAAGCAAAAGTCTGAGATGCTTACTAGCCAGTATAATAGATAAAGGTTCCCACTGGAGCAAAGTACACACATACTTATTGCCCACTATAAAAGATTCAGGCTTCCTGAACTCAGGGTTTCTCTCTGGTACACAGCTCGTTGAATGTGCAGGCAGCTATCTAGCCTGTACACATTACTTTAATTGGGAGCAGGGAAACTGACACAAAAATGCTGATGCTAATGTTGCTTGCAGTGGTGTATATAGCTCTTCGTTTCTGACCTGGGAGTCTCATGTCTTCTGCCACAATCTATGAGATTGTAGCAAACTAACTTGTTAGCTTGCAAGTAGGATAAGATCTCAGCTCCTTCACGGTTCAACATTTTCTAGGCAAAGAGATTTATGAGCCCAGGAAATACTCTTACAATTGGTTAGGCATAAATAAAATTGGAAATGTTGTAAAGCAATGGATGTAACTAAATTTTTACTTAGATCTCTACAGTTTTAATTAGAAGAGCTTAAGTGTGGCATTAATATTCTAGGGCCCAACTGATTAGATTTGTGAAATACTATTTCACTTCGTTGCTCTGATCAATTTCAATCTGTGTAGCATTAAATGTATGATTATTGTTATACTCTAAATGTTTTTGCAAATTAACAGTCTGGCAAAAGTTTTTTTTTTTTTTTTGACACTTATGCAAGATAAACTGGCAAGCAGATAACTATGTAGTAATTTGTATAGTCGACGTGACCAAAATAGAAGGATTGACCATGCTTTGGTTCCCAAGTTTTTTTGTGTGGGACTTGATGAAATTTCTTGAGGAGGATTGTTTTTCCTACTTGGATTTGGATACTCTCCAGGTCTGATTATCACCACATTATCAAGGCCCAAGGCACAATTTGTTCTTGGTAGTTAAGCAGATTAAATAATTAAAGTAGATATATTCTGTTCTAGAGTTACGTCTAAGCCAGAAACATAAATAAGGCCTAAACAGAAGAGAACAAGGGAATTTGTCAGATACATAGGTTTTGTTAAGGCCCAGCACAAATAATATCCAATATTTATGTAAATCAGAACTAAAGACTAAATTGTAGACTGTAGCAGCAGGTTGTTAACAAGTTAATAAATTTTCTTTCAACTTATTATGTGTCTAATCATTTTCCTAGTATAGGCTTTGAAGCTAACACACAAATATGTTTGTACTACACATGTCTCTTCTTAGACGTTGACTCAAATTAGTTCTAAGCTATGATATACTTTTGTTTCATTTTTAAGTTTGTTTTTTAATTATCTTTTTTTTTTTGTATAGTAGAATTTTAGGCTGTTAGGAGGTCATATAGATGTTATGTAGAAGAGGAGGGGCCAAAGAGTGCAAAGAGAGAGGCTAACGAGAGAAAATTCAAAAAAAGCTGTACTGCAGTTTAATATGAAAGAATTTCTTCTGTAAATTGATTAGACAGTGGCTCACATTCAGAAAGTAAGATACATGAAACTCATCTTCAAAGATCAACAAAGACTTAGTAGAGCCTGACCCGGTAATATATAATCATTTCAGAAATTCACATTGATAACTTTTTTTTTTTTTAATGAATAAAGGGAATGCAGAACACTGCAGTTGTGGCTAGCAGAGTCTATTCTTTTGGGAAAAGACCCCCTAGTATAGTATGTGAAGTCAGCCTGTCTGCTTTCTCTCTCTCTGGCCTACTTTGCTTGCTGGCCATCTGTGGCCTATTACATTTTTAAAGATGACTCTCATTCTATATGCTCTTCTGCAACGTGACCTTTCCACCTACCCCTCGACAAGAGGTGGAGTCAATTTCTTCACCCCTTGAATCTGGAGGGGCCTGTACCTGCTTAGACCAATAAATTATGGCAGAGTCTTTAATTGGATAGGCACTTGCCATTTCCTGGCCTTTAGGAAGTCAGCTATAATAAAAGAATGCAACTCCATTCAAACTGCCATACAGTGAAAACCCAAGCCATGTGGAGAAGCCTTGAAGAATGAAATGCCACATGAGAAGAGAGAGAGAGAGCAAAAAGCACCAAGAAACCAGGTATGTAAGTAAGGATGTCACTGGAGGAGTAGATCCTCAAGCCCGAGCTGCCCTAGCTGATGCCACACGGATCAGAATGAATCAGCCAGCTGAGCCCTTCCTTAATCCCTGACACACAAATTTGTGAACAAAATAAAATTATTTTCAGACAGTAAGTTTATGAGGTATTTTGTAAAGCAATTTACCATTGATAAAAAGTCAACAAATAACCTAGGGCCTACATATTTAAGTTCATTATAAATATAAATCATGTTTTAAAAGATATGTACCCACAGTAGTGATGGAATTTACAAGAACACAAAGAATCCCAATGTTAGAAGGTAACTTAGAAACCATCCTATCCAGCTCCTACTTCTCAACAGGTAAGAAAATTGGAACACCCTTACTGGGTGCAGTGGCTCATGCCTGTAATTCCAGCCAAGGCAGGTGAATCACCTGAGGTCAGGAGTTTGAGACCATCCTGGTTAACATGATGAAATCCTCTCTCTACTAAAAACATAAAAAAATTAGCTGAGTATTGTGGTTGATGCCTGTAGTCCCAGCTACTTTGGAGGCTGAGGCAGAAGAATTGCTTGAACCTGGGAGGTGGAGGTTGCAGTGAGCCAAGATCGAGCCATTGCACTACTGCCTGGGGAACAAGAGTGAGACTTTGTCTCAAAAAAAAAAAGGAAAAGAAAATTGGAACCCCCTAGGCTATGTAATAGGCAATTAGAATACCACTGTTAGGTAATTAGAATATCACCATTCCTGGTAATTAGAATACCAATAGATAATTAGAATACCACCATTCCTGACAAAATGGTAGTTAGAAGTTAGAGAACACTAATAGGTAATAAACTCTTTCTGTTGACTTTTTTTTTTTCCTAGATGGAAAGAATTTAAGTGGTCAGTCATTAATAATTAATTCACAAGAGTGATAAGGTAGGAAACTGACTTCCTTTGCCAACCAATTTTTATTATATCTATTTGTTTAAAGGCTCCTTGAAGCTTTAATGCTCATATTATCATTGGTTTCCACCATTCTTGAGATCCTTTGGCAAAGGGTAACATTGTGAAAAACAGGCTCATCCCCAAGTTAATCCTCTTTTGCCTTCTACTTCGATTCTGTTATAGTAACCCCTGATCTTAACTTGGGGTATTTTGGAGCATTTTGCAAAACAGCAACAACAACAAATTGTTTTCTGTTATTCAGCTCTCTACTTTTAATGCCTGAAACATCTGAAATATTCCTGCCTCGTGGATAATGATTTATGTATTTTTTTCTCTCACTCTTAGAGCACTGAGCAACTGCTGGATCCATGTGTTTGCTGAGGAGGGAGACTTCCTGAATTCCTTTTAGCAGAAAGACACCCCATTAGAATATATTAACACTGGATTAGGAATGAGAAAACTGAGAATTTAGTTCGAAGTGCCTAACTGTATATGCAACGTTGATTAGATAATATAGCCTACAGGGTTCCAATTTTCTTACTTGTTGAGAGGTAGGAGCTGGATATGATGGCTTCTAAGTTACTGTCTAACACTGGGATTCTTTGTGTTCTTGCAAATTCCATTACTACCATGGGTACATATTTTTTAAAATATGATTTACATTTATAATGAACTTAATTACGGAGATCATATGTTATTTGTTGACTTTTTATCAATGTGCCCAGACTTTTTCTTCATTGTTAAAAGAAAAAAAAAATTGCCATAAGTGATTTTTTTTAAAGCTGGTTTAAGATAGAAAATGTTTACAGTTATAAAATTAAGTTGCACTGGAAAAATATGTCTGTCAAGGACACGATGTGCCCCAATGTGCCATTTATTTGCATTTACAGGAAAACCCAATTATAACAGCTATTTTCAAGAACTAATATCACTAGAGACTGAATGTATAGTAGAGCAAGCAGATGATAATGTGTCCTAAAAAACTGACCTAGCCAGGAACATGTACATGGTGAACTCACCCACATTTTGTTATTCTTCTGTGAAATTCTACATTTGATCTAAAATATTGTTGCTGATATTTATGTAAAATAAGACAGAATTAATCACTAGGCTAAATTTAATATTTGTCTCAGATGAAGTGAGGTGCTAAAATTGTATTTCCAAAAGTTCTATTTTTAGATTGGACAGGGTAAATTTTGCAACCAAATACCTCTTTGGTAAAACTTACGTCATTGGACTGATGTAAAGCGAAAACAAGCAGGTCCCAAACCAATTGCTGCTGCTGCTTCTTTGAAATTCATCTCAGTGTGATCCTTTTGTAGTTCATGAGTATGATGATTGGGTGTTCACACGCTTGTGTGAGATGTGCCACCCTTGAACCTTGTTACGACATCCATCGGCATATTACCCATCTGACCTGAACCTGGAAAAAAGATAAACATTTAAATTAAAAAAAAAAATCATCTCAATGAAAACTTTATTGAGCTGGCTGCAATTCAGGAAGGACACACTCCATATTTACATCAGGCACAAAGGTCTTTCCTTCTGTAATCATTCCCTGAGGGGAGTAGTTGTTTAGTGGAGTCATTTCTCTCTGGTCTGTTACACCTTAAGCAAGAATCTATGGCTCCTTAATTTCAAATCATAGCAGATAAGATTTAAGCTGCCTTTTAAAGTTCATCCGTGTGAAGATGACCGTGGTGTAAAGGCTACTCAGTGGGTAGCCTGGGTCCTGTCTTCCTTATGCTAACTAGTTGTGGTACCTTGGGAACAGTCCCTAACCTTTCTGGGTCTTGTTCCCTCCTTTGTCAAATGAAATGGATTTCACAAACTTTTCCTTGCGAGCCCTTCCTCATGTGAGACTTTTGTGATGATGAGGTCTCTTTCTGTTTAGGCAAGATGCCTTCTCACTGTCCTCTTCTTGTTTCTCACTTCCTCCCAGGACTTGTGAATATAACACTTATAGTGGTGACAGACTAAAGCATCTGTCCACCCCCCACCATCATCTCTCTCCAGGACTGCTGTTATAGACTCTTAGATACCTCTCATCACATCCATTCTCTGCTTAGTTCCAGTCGGTAATTCTTTATAAGGAACGCTCTTTACAAAAACCTCAAATTTTATCATTTCACCTCTCTCCTTAAACCATTAAATGGCCTTGATGGCTTTTAGGTCCAAATCCCAAATCCTTAACGTGGTCTGTTGAGCTCTTAACTCCCTGCATCTCTGGCACCTTCCCATGCCCCCATCGTGTTTTAGTTTAAATGTGCTGCAATAAGCACAAATGATATATTTTTTACCAAAGGACAACTGGTAATATCATGCTGAGGATGTTGCTGGGTGTGGCTTCTCAAATGTCTCCAGCTCTTCAGGAAGATGTGCTCAGTTTGATGGTCATGGAATTCTTCTTGCATAGGCAGATGACTGCTTCTTCTGTCTCTAAACATACTCCCCAAAACTTCAGAGGAAGTATGTTACATGGTTGCAAAATCTGCCCCTTTTTATCCATATCGCCAGTATATAATATCCTAGTTTTAGGGAAATATTTTCCATAAGCTAACAGGGCCATCTTACTACATGGTTCACAAGTTATATAATAATGATTAGGTATCACACATGGGTACTATATTAGTTTATGCTGCTGTAACAGAATACTATAGACTGGGTGGCTTAAACAACACTTATTTCTCATAAGTTTGAGGACTGGGAAGTCCAAGATCAAAGTGCAGGCAGATTCAGTGTCTGCTGAGGACCCAGGCCCACTTCCTGGCTTGCAGATGACTGTCTTCTCATTGTATCTTCACATGACTGAGAGAAATAATTTTTCTCCTGTTTCTCCTTAAGGTCACTAATCTTATTCGTGAGCAGTCCACCCTTATGACCTAGTTACTTCCTGTGATAGGTAATTAATTTTATGTGTCAACTTGACTGGGTTAAGGAATACCCAGATAGCTGGTAAACATTATTTCTGAGTGTGTCTGTGAGGATACTTCTTAGAAGAGATTAGCATTTGAATCAGTAGTCTGAGTAAAGAAGATTCACCCTCACCAGTGTGGGCTGGCACCATGTACTCCATTGAGGGTCCAGATAGAACAAAAAGGGAGATGAAGGGTGAATTCTCTGTCTTCTTCAGTTGGGACATCCATCTCTTCCTGCCCTCAGACATCAGAGTTTCCAGTTCTAGGCCTTCTGACTCCAGTGCTTACACCAGCCCTTCCACCCTCACCCTGGTTCTTGGATTCTCAGGCCTTTGGCCTCACCTGAATTACAGCACCAGCTTTCCTGTTTCTCCAGCTTGCAGCTGTTTTATTGTGGGACTTCTCAGGCTCTGCAGTGGTGCGAGCCAATTTTCATAATAAATCCCCTCATCTATTTACCTCTATATATTCTATTTGTTCTATTTCTCTAGAGAAAGCTGACTAATACACCTCCCAAAGATGTAATACCATCACATTGGGGATTTGAATTTCAACATGTGAATTTTGCAGGGACACAAACATTTGGTCCATAACAGATATACATGGGACACTGATAGTCTATGGACAAGCATATTTGGTGACACTTTTAGGCCTAGGATGGAGTCACTACTGCAGGCCTGGCTGGAAGCTACCATTCAACGATGTGGGCCTCATCTCAGTTCTGCCAATGTTACAGTCTTTTTCACCAGAGGGCATTCTCCAATGCTGCTGCTTTTGCTCAAATGATTCTCTAACTCCCACTAACACCTTCTTTTTCATTGTGGTAATTTCTATTTACAATTCAAATCTTCTCAGTTTATAAGTCACTTTCTCTCAGAAACTTTTCTTGTTCTTTCAGACTAGGTTGGGTGTCTCTGTTTCATGCTTCTGTAATACCCTTATCTCCTACAGAGGGTGTCACTGTATTTCTAGTTCTATGACCATCTAGCTTTAGATTGTAAGTTCTGTAAGGAAAAAGATTATCTAAGCCCCAGCAACTAGCATGGGGTCCAGCATATAGTAGTCAGTAACCCCCCAAAAATCTGTTTGATGAATAAAGGAATAAATAAATATAGAAGAGAAAGACATAGGCGAGAGGAATGAAAGGATTTCAAGGAGGGAGAGGAAGTACTTCTTGCTGATGCCAACGGTATAACTACTAAGAACTGGGAGAAATAAATGAAAAAGGTCTCTTGCCTGGGCCATGATCCTCATTTTAGCTTCCAACGAGGTGGAACTGTTAGAGTCCTTTCAGGTCTTCTATAAAAAAGAAGTATAGACTAACACTAGGACAGACACCTGGAAATTCAGGGAAGGCACTGGGGGAAAGCAGTCCCCATGCCCAGAAATAGATCTGGCCCTAACTCTGTGTATACTCCTACAAATACAAGGTGCTTTAAAAAAATAGAGACAGGGTCTCACTATGTTGCCCAGGCTGGTCTTGAAGTCATGAGCCACTGTGCCTGGTTGACCAGAAGCTTTTTTATTGTGAATTTTGGGAAGTTGTATTTTCTCTTTGTTATCTTTATATTCCATATCTTTTCCTTACTGATAGCAAAAGTATAAAAAAAGAAAGAAAAAAGAATTCTTAGAGAACCTCAAAAAAGTCATGGGTTTGTTTATAAGACAGGCAAGCATTCTGTGTTTACACTGTCAGTGAGTCAGGAAGGGAGACCACCATGGCCAGAGCAATGACTTTTGGCAACAGAAAAGGAAACAAAGGATTTATTGAGGAAGAGAGGCAGGAGGAAAAGGAGAGTGGACAGAAGCTGCTCTGAAATTGTGATTCTATAGATCTGGCGGGCATTCCTTTTTGCTACCCACCCCTCATAAACAATATTCCTTCCCTCGTCTCTTCTGAGCTCCCTGTAATTCCTTGCGCTTCCCTTTCTTACCAGACCAGTGCCTTTAATCCAGGACATAGGATCAATTTTCAATAGCTAAGAACGCTGGTACAATGAGAGTGCCAGTCTTATAACAGGCATCTTAAAGTGAAAATATAACTGTATTACCTTAAAAACAAGGGTAGATATGATCAGTTATCACAGGTTACTTTCATAAACAACACCATAATCTCAGTGATTAAACTCACATGAGAAAAAGTTCCTTGTGTCCTAGAGGTTTAATTAAAAAGGAATAAGAGGGACTCTGCTCCACACAGTAATTCAGGGATTCAGCCTTTCCCCAATCTTTACTCTTCCACCTTCTAGGTTTTGCCTGCCTGTGTATTCAGCCAGCAGATGATTAGAGATTACTCATGGGAGGGTTTATTAACTAGGCTTGAAAGTGGCATACACTTCTACCTACATTCTACAGGTTAGAACTCAATTTCAATGCTGCAACCAACTATAGGGGAGGATGGAAAATATGATTGTACTAGTTTCCTAAGGTTGCCATAGCACAGCACTACAGACTGGGTAGCTTAAAATAACAGAACCAATCAAAAGACACAGCCAAAACCCATCAGTATGCTGCATCCAGACCCATCTCACATGCAAGAATACACAAAGACTCAAAACAAAGGGACGGAGAAAGATTTACCAACCAAATGGAGAGCAAAAATAGATAAATAAATAAAAAGCAGGAGTTGCCATTCTCACCTCTGATAAAATAGTCTTTAAAGCAACAAAGATCAAAAGAGGCAAAGAAGGACATTACATAATGATGAAAGGATCAATGCAACAAGAAGAGCTAACGATCCTAAATATATACGCACCCAATACAGGAACACCCAGATACATAAGACTTATAAAGAGACTTAGACTCCCACACAATAATAGTGGGAGACTTCAACATCAATATTAGACAGATCAGCGAGACAGAAAATTAACAAGGATATCCAGGACTTGAACTCGGATCCGGAACAAGTAAACTTAATAAACATTTATAGAACTCTCCACTTTAAATACACAAAATATACATTCTTATCAGTATCAAAAAAAAATAACAGAACCATATTCTCTCACGGTTATGAAGGCTAGAAGTGCAAAGCCAAGGAGTCCTCAGGACTATATTCCTTCTGGAGGCTCTGGAGAAGGATATTCCTCTGCCTTTTCCCAGCTTCTAGTGGTTGCTGGCAATCCTTGGCATCCCCAGCCTTGTAGCTACATCACTCAATTTCTGCCTCTGTCTTTGCATGGCCATTTTTTGTGTGTGTCTCTACATCTAATTTTTTTCTCCTCTTATAAGGACACCTGGTTATTGGGTTAGCCCACCCTAGTCCATTATGACCTCATCTTAACAGGATGACATCTGCAAAGACCCTACTTCCAAATAAGGTCACATTTACAGGTGCTAGATATTAGGACTTGAACATATTTTTTAGAGGGACACAGTTCAACCCACAAGAGTGGTCTAGCTATGTGCCCAAAAGGAAAAGAAAAATGGTTTGGTGTCCCCTGTTGGATCTTTGCCAAGTTGTTAAGATTTTCTACTAGAAGTAATAATGAGTGGAAAAGCCT